AGTGACCCTGTTGCCAACTATGGCATTAGTCGACACATCGGGTACAGGCTGGGGAAGCTCACCTAGGCCATCTACAGATACCAGGAGTCTAGTCCCCAGAGGACACGGGGCTGCATATAAATGTCGTAGAACGCAGAGCAATTGAACTGATGTGTATGGCATTTCTCCCAGTCTTATGACATTCCATAGTGCAGACACTGAGAGACAATATATTGGCATTTCATTACATGCACAAAGAAGGGGTGCCAGCTCTTTGCCTCTCTTCAAAGGAATGAACAAACCGTGGAAATGGTATCATCTGCATAGCATAACCCTGGGAGTTCTGCACCTCCTGGGAGTTGTCAACAATCTGATGAATGTCCTGAGCAGGCAGTCATCAGTCACAAGGGTTGATGCAGGATTCTGTCACTAGGTCGACTTTCCATCAGTGGGCGACACCTCTGACGTGTCCCACCAAAGACAACACCAAGTGTCCAAACTTCTGTTCCAGAGAGGGCATGAGCCTTTGATCATTGCTGGATGTTTTTCTTCTGCAATGGAATCAAGACCTCGTATTGCCTTCCCACCAATTCCGCTAATCCCCAAGGTTACTGGCAAAGTCACACAGTACAGGGCCATATTCAGAGCTCCTATTGACTGAGGCAGTTCTGGCTGACAGACCTGTTGCAGGTGTCTTTGCAATCACCAGTCAGGCTGCTGGGCCAATTAGATCTTTTCTCACAGGGTCAGATTCTCCATCCGGAACCAAAGTCCCTGCACTTGAATGCTGGCTGGTTAAGCACCATGGTAAAGGATTGCTCCTTACAAGTTCAAGAAATCCTGGTACAGAGCAGGAAAACTGACCACCAAATGGAAAAGGTTCTCTGTATGGGCTGCCTGATACAGTCTAGACGAGAAGATTCTCAACTATTTGCTGCAGTTAAAACGTTCTGGATTGTCCTTTAGTTCAGTCAAGGTCCACCTGGTGGCAAAATCCACCAATACAGTTGCTCTTGATCTTCTCTTATCCACCAGTATCCAAGTTTTTCAAGGGTCTAATGGCTACTTAGCCACCGGTCAGGGAACTTATTCCCACATAGGACCTCAGCATCATCCTTCTAAGGCTAATGGAGCTCCCCTTTGAGCCCCTCTTGGAGTGTGCTATCCCCCATCTCAGTCTTAAAACAGTCTTTTTTTTGGTGGCCATCACCCAAGTCAAGGTGAGAAAGCTTCAGGCACTCATGCAGAACCCCTGTATGCCTGGTTCCATAAAGACAGGATCGTACTAAGACTTCCTGCAAAATTCATTCCCAACATGGTTTCTGAGTTCCAAATCCAATCTATCACTTTATCTCTGGTCTTTCCAAAGCCACATTCCACCCAAGAAGTGAAGCTGCTGCACACTCTGGATATATCCAGAGTTCTCCAATATTATAGTGACAGGGCCACACTTTTTAGACTGTGCCCACATCTATTTGTGGCTGTGGCCAGCTGCTCCAAGGGGCAGACTATTTCATCACAAAGATTATCAAAATGGGTAACTCAGTGTATCTCATTGTGTTACTAGCTGGCCACTATACCTCTCCCACTGACTGTTAAGACTCTCTCCACCAGAGCCCAAGCAACATCCGCCTGCTTTCAAAAGATGCCAGTTATCCAAAATCTGCAAGGTAGCTATGTTAAACAATCCATTCATATTTGTCAAACACTATGGACTGTACTTAGCTGACAGATCTGATGTCCATTTGGGAGAGCAGTCCTCCAATCTCTATTTGACTGATGCAGCTGATACTCCTCATTCCCACCATCCTGAGGGGACAATGCTTGCCAGTCACTTATAGTGGCATCTACACTGACACGTACTCAAAGAAGAGAGAACAGTTACTTACCTACAATAACTGTGGTTCATCAAGATGTTGTAGTCAGTGTGGATCCCATGACTCACCCTCCATCCAGGCTTTTCACACTCCTCAGCAGTCATGGGCTACGAATTTCAAGGGGACTGAAAGAGGGTCGTGGCTGCTTTATGCTCTAGCACAGGAATGCAAGGAGGCATGGGGCACATGCATTGCTGTGACAGACACTGCTACTCAGAAAAGATTCCAAGCTTGCTACATGAGGTGCATGCAAACCTACAGTGGGATCCGCACTGACGAATCATGGTTACTATAGGGTAAGAAACTAATCTTTTAATCATTCTTTATGGTACAGTGCAAATCACAGTAGGGGGAATAACATATGGAAGAAAGGGGAAGTCAATAGTAATGACTATAAATCAAAAATTAGGAATAGTAGAAAATTGATAAGAGAAGCAAAGGGACAGAAGAAGAAATCTGTGGCCAGCAGAGTTAAGGACAATGAGGAGGAGTTAAAGTATATTAGGAATAAAAAGAATCCTAAAACTGGTATTGGTCCTTTACTAGATGGGAGTGTTAGTGTTATCAATAATAATGCAGAAAAGGGAGAAGTGTTCAATAAATATTTCTGTTCTGCATTTGGGGAAAAAACAGGTGATCTAGTCATATCATATGATAACATTCTTTCCAAACCCACTAATATCTCAGGAGACTGTTAAACATTTTTAATCAGCAGAGCCAGATACTTTGCATCTATGAGTTTTTAAAGAGCTGGCTGAGGAGCTTGCTGGAAAGTTAATGTTGATTATCAATAAGTCTTGGAACACTGCGGAAGTGCCAGAAGACTAGAAGAAAGCAAATGTTGTGCCAATATTTAAAAAGGGTAAACGGGATGACCTTGGAAGTTATAGGCCTGTCAGTCTCACATTGATCCTGAGCAACATAATGAAACTGCTGAATCAGGACTTGATTAATAAGAATTAAAGGAGGGTAATATAATTTAATGCCAATCAACATGGGTTTATAGAAAATAGATCCTTTCAAACTAACTTGATTTTTTTTTTTTATGAGATCACAGGTTTGGTTGATAAAGCTAATACTGTTGATACAATATTCTTGGGTGCCATGAGACCATTTGATTAACAAAATATAGAAAGATCTAAAATTAATGTGGCACACATTAAATAGATTAAAAGATGACTAACGGGTGGGTCTCAAAATGTAACTGTAAACTGGGAAGCATCATCAAGCAGGTGTGTTTCTAATGAGCTCCCACAGGGACTGGTTTTTGGCTATATGCTATTTAACATTTTTATCAATTATCTGGAAGAAAACATAAAATCACTCTTTTCCGATTACACAAAAATTGGGGGAGTGATAAATAATGAAGAGGATAGAATCACAGGGTTGGAAGGGACCTCAGCAGGTCATCTAGTCCAACCTCCTGCTCAAAGCAGGACCAGTTCCCAACTAAATCATTCCAGCCAGGGCTTTGTCAAGCCTGACCTTAAAAATCTCTAAGGATGGAGATTCCACCACCTCCCTAGGTAACCCATTCCAGTGCTTCACCACCCTCTTAGTGAAAAAGTTTTTCCCAATATCCAACCTAAACCTCCCCCACTGCAACTTGAGACATTTACTCCTTGTTCTATCATCTTCTACCACTGAGAACAGTCTAGATCCATCCTCTTTGGAACCCCCTTTCAGGTAGTTGAAAGCAGCTATCAAATCCCCCCTCATTCTTCTCTTCTGCAGATATAAATAATCCCAGTTCCCTCAACCTCTCCTCAACAAGTTTGGGAACCACTGGACTAGATGATCACAGTGATCCTTCTGACCTTAGAATCGATGAATAAGGTGCCTGAATAAAGCAGCAGAAGTAGCAGAGTATTGCACAGTGATTTTTGCTCACCGGTTAAAGACACGGACTGATTCTCAGATCTGGACTCTGAAGTAATTTCCCCATCCCCAACATATAGTAGCATGGGGGCAGGGGAGGTAAACCATAGACAGGTTCATGTAGTTTTATTTTATTTATTTAAATTGAATTTAGTAATTTTGCATTAAACTACCATGGGTTCAGCTCCTTTTGCTAATTTCAAGCTCAGCAGAGTGAAAATGACCTCTGGTGCTTTTCTCAAATTTGGAGACTCCAGGAACACATGAAGACCAAGGATAGTGACCAAAGACACAATCACAAGTACAAAGTCTTATCTGTACTACAAGTTTTATTAAAGCACCAAGTAAAGTTAAAATTACCCATGCATATATAAATCCTACAAAAACTCATGCAATGACTAAGACAGTAGTCATATTCATATCCTCAAAGATATTCTAGCGTCTGATAGATCTCTCAGCAGATGATCATTGATAAGAGGGATGGTTCCTGCTGCGGTTTCCCCGTGGGGTTGTCCCTTGGGGTCTTCCCACTTTTACCCAACCAATTAACCTCTTCTATATTGTTGTTCTGATGACATATGCATGAGGGTTTCAACCCTCTTTTCCTTATCTGTACTTCCACACCCCATGAATACTGGGGTGTCCCATTTTTCATAGGTTGTTTCTTAGTTCCTCTTATTCTCATTAGCATCTATGTACAACATGTAACCTGCAGTCAGGACAGGACAGTCCATGTTACAATCAGGTGTCTTGTGGTCTTAGACAATACATGGTAGTTTATTGCAATCTAGTTTTCTGTAATATCACCTATTGGCACATCTTTTACAGTAATCTTGTGACTTTACTGGCATAGGGTTATTCCTAGATCACCCACTCATGTCAAGCATTCTTAAGTCTATGGCCTAGTATGGCTAAGCTAAAATCTTACAGGCCTCAGGTCTTGCATTCCAGCCATGCTTTACTGATACACCTAATACAAACTCATCACTCCAAAATATTTGTCAATCTTATACTTCTATAATCCAACAATTTAAATCTATTTAGCAAACATTTATTATATATGAAATAGCATATGAATTGACCATGACCCCAAATATCACAATGATTAATGGATGATAAAATGAACTACTTGGCTGCGGTCGGAAGCGTGTATTACGCACTGTCAGTCTGTTCTGATTGCAACAAGCTTAGTTCTTCCCACGAGCTCCAGGACCTCCTGCCCTGGCTGCTCAGACACTCACATAATTTCCTTCTCTGTCCCTGAAGCCAATGAGGGCCGGAACGACTACCACCCCATGTTCTTCACCCATGACCGAGCATTTGAGGAGCTCTTTGCCATCTGCATCCAGCTGCTAAACAAGACCTGGAAGGAGATGAGAGCAACGGCAGAGGATTTCAACAAGGTCAGGGGGATGGGAACCTGCCCTGGGAAGGGTTCTGTATCGGAGAGGGAGAGCACACAGACAGACTCTTTACTCAGCAAAGTATGGAGCAGTGGGGAGGTGTGTACAAGTGCATGTAGGAATATGTTTAGGATACTGGTGAAGAAGGCAGCCCTGTGACCTCTGCTTTCCCTGCCCTGGGCCCTCAAAGCCCTCAATTGGATGTGCCTCCTGACCACACTCTCGCTGTATCCGTCCCTTGCAGCCCTTGGCTGAATTCAGCCCTGAATCCCAGCTCCCCTTGGGCAGCAGGAATGTAAGCTGCCTGTTCTCTCCCATCCCATCCCTCTAGGTGATGCAGGTTGTACGTGAGCAGATCACCCGGGCTCTGCCCTCCAAACCCAACTCCTTGGACCAGTTCAAGAGCAAGCTGCGCAGCCTAAGCTACTCTGAGATCCTGCGACTGCGCCAGTCTGAGAGAATGAGCCAAGATGACTTTCAGTCACCACCCATTGTGTAAGTGCCTGACAGGCAGGGCCGGCTCTGACTTTTTTGCCGCCCTAGGCAAAAAAGCCCCCCTCCGCCCGCCCCCACCCCCCGCCCAGCGCGGCAGGGGAGGGGGGCCAAGCCCAGCCGCGGGCCCACAATACCCGACTGGCCGGAGCACCGGGTGGAGGGCAGCGAGCCCACCGCGGCCGCTGCTCTCCCCGGCCAGAGCGCCGGGAGGAGGGCAGAGAGCCCACTGCGGCCAGAGCGGCGGGAGGAGGGCGGAGAGCCCGGCCGGGGCTCTCTGCTCTCCCCTGCGGCCAGAGCGCCAGGGGGAGGGCGGCGAGCCCGGCCGGGGCCCCGCTCTCCTCGACCATCCAGAGTGCCGGGGGGAGGGCGGCGAGCCCAGTCGCGGCCCCGCCACGCCGCCCCCCTCCAGGCGCCGCCCCAAGCAGATGCTTGGAGGGCTGGTGCCTGGAGCCGGCCCTGCTGACAGGGGCAGCTCTCTTCCCCACATACTGGCCTCCCTTACATTGAATTGCTGGCTGCTAACCCCAGACTCTTGTTTACTCAATTGTCTTTAATCTCCAGGGAGCTGAGAGAGAAAATCCAGCCTGAGATCCTGGAGCTGATAAAACAGCAGCGTCTGAACCGGCTTTGCGAGGGAAGCAGCTTCCGAAAAATTGGGAATCGCAGGCGACAAGGTGGGGCCTGCTACAGCCTCCCAGTGTAGGAGCACTGAAGCAAATAGGACCAAGTGGGTTTCCCAGTTGGCAAGGAAGGGGGTGGATAAACAGGGTTGCTACACCGGCCAACAGGCTGGGATGGCACAGAGGTGCATACATACAGGAGACCGCAATCCTTGTCACAGCCAGCAGGTGGCACTGTAGAGAATGAGAGAGGGGGGCTATACAGGGCTATCATGGGGGCCTTGTCTGAATGACTCGTCTTACGCCATGCTGTATGTTGTGTTTTCCAGAGAGATTCTGGTACTGTCGTCTGGCCTTGAACCACAAGGTTCTACACTACGGAGACCTGGAAGACAACGCCCAGGGCGAAGTGACCTTCGAGTCGCTGCAGGAAAAAAGTAGGTCCAGGTTATTGCTCTGACGCTGGCACTATGTGCAATGCCCTGTGCTCTGCCACCTACCGACCATTCGTACCAGTGGCTACAGCACTGACTGGTACTCAGGAGATCTGAATTCAGTCCCTGGCCCTTCCCCAAGCCCCTGTGTGACCTTTGATGTCACTTGGTACTTCCCACATCAGGGGCTATGGGGATAAGTTCATTTGTGTTTACGAGGCTCAAACAGTCTGGTAATGGAGTCTGTAGAAAAGCCTGTGACCAGACAGATGGACATGGGGCCATGTAACGTCAAGGTAAAGCCCCATCTCTTCATAGTCAGGGTTCCTCCTGTTGTGACTTTCCTGTTTCACTCCTAGTCCCTGTAGCAGACATCAAGGCCGTCGTCACAGGGAAGGACTGTCCACACATGAAGGAGAAAAGTGCACTGAAGCAGAACAAGGTAACTGCTCTCTTCCTTTCTTTAGTACAGTCCCTTGGCTGATGAGCAGTTCTTGGAGGGGTGGAAGCAGCAGAAACAAGCTCTAAATGACAGCTGTCTATGGGAACCATTTACACACAGTCCCAGCCTAAATCTGGGACCCCTACATCTCCTTTCCAGTCCCTGGTCTCTTTGCTGTTTCACTCCTAGAACCACTGCCCACCCAACTTGTTCTGTGACTGGCAAGGTGCCCTGGTGCTAGTTGCACAGTGAGGAGGTGCCCAGGGAACAGGATTGCATTGTGGAGGTGTCCTGGGCTGCAGCTGGGACCCCCAACATTGTTGGTGTAGCAGAAAGGACTGTTATGATGATTTATCTAGCTGATGATTAAAAACCTCTTCCTTCAGGAAGTGTTGGAATTGGCCTTCTCGATATTGTATGATCCTGATGAGACACTGAACTTCATTGCACCTAATAAGTATGAGGTAAGAAATGGGGCTGTCAAATTGCAAAGAGGAGACAGGGAAAAACCAGTTCCCGCCCCCCCACCCCACCCCCCAAGCTTTGGACAAGATGCACCAGTCTCACTGTTAAAAAATGTTGCCTAATGCTCAACCTAAATCTCCCTTGTTTGTAATATCATCCTGTTAGGGCAAGTTCTAGCCCCTTGTACCACCCTGAATGACTTCCCGTAGTCCTTGGTAGAGGCGCCGTCTTTCTAAGTTGCCGGGGGGTGCTCAACCCCTGCTCTGGAGAACCCACGGAGTCGGCATCTATGGTCCTTGGCGTTGGCCATCAACAGGCTGTTCCTCACATGCTCTGAGACATGAGTCCTAAAATTGTATGGTCTTTTCTGCTGCCATGTCACATTGCAAACTCATGTCCAATTGTCTGCTCACTCTCGTGTTGGGGGTCTCAGTCACTCTTGCTTCCCTAGCTTCTCCCTCCCATTAGGAGTCTGTGGTTGAATTACTTTCCCCCCAGATTAATGTACTGCATTTTCTGAATTTCTCATTTTATTTCCTGCTGGTGTCACCAATTTCAGGGGGCCTCCAGAGGGATGTTCCTACCCGTGGTTTGTGCTGGTGTATTTTGGGATGGGGGGCTCCACAGGGCATTCCCCATGGTTTATGCCTAAGGGTGTAAGTTGTCTACTTGTTCTCCACAGTACTGTATCTGGATCGATGGACTCAATGCCCTCCTCGGGAAGGACATGTCCAGTGAGCTAACAAAGAGTGACCTGGACACGCTGCTGAGCATGGAAATGAAGCTGAGACTCCTGGACCTGGAGAATATCCAGATCCCTGAGGCCCCACCACCCATCCCCAAGGAGCCCAGCAGCTATGACTTTGTCTATCACTACGGTTGACACAGGCAGAACTGGACAGGGACGGGGAGGAAGGGACAGCTACTGCTGAAAAGAGCCTCAGAACCCTGGAGCTTGTTCTGAGATTGACATCATGTCCTTTGTTTGTACAGGACCAGTTCTGAACATGGCAACCATTGATCACTAATCTCTCTATGCCCCAGCCATTCCAGTAGGCCTGCAGCTTCTTGTTTCACCACCTCGTTATGGGGTGAGAGTCATGATGCTGGGATGCCATATGGGGGAGGCACCCCATTCTCTCAACAGCAACACTGCATGGCACTGGGTGAGGAATATGCCTAGCAAGAGGAGGAGCTTCTGCCCTGGCCACAGGGTTGGCATCCACCCTTGTATCCCAGAACTGTTGAGTCTCCGTTTAATCCCACCTCCTACCAGAAAACACAATAAAACCATTGAGTGACTGACAGCTGCTACAGCAGAAAATGGTGCAACGAGGGAGTCCCTTGGTCACTACAGGAGTGACACTGGTGCCTGAGGGATGAGAGCAGAAGCCAATGAACAGTTGGGGGTCAGCATCCCCCAGTAACTCATTATTGTCTGATTTTATATGAATTACTATAATATAAATAATAATCCTTACCATATCTATAGTATTTAACTCTTTGAAGCGCTTCATAAGCATTAATGTTAATCCTACAACCCTTTTTTTTATGAGGTGGGTGTGACGAAGTGGGGGGGTTTTCTTGTTTTCTGTGGAGTTTCAATGGTTTGCGTGCAGAGGGGGTGGGACTCAGTTTCCCTGGGTGTTACTGGTTTAATGAGGTGAGGGGAGAGGGAGTGTGTTTTGCAGAGGGCCGGAGAGAGGACGTGGGGACCCAGCCGATGGCCGGGAGGATGGATACCCCAGCGACCGGTGACCTGGTGACCCAGAGGCCCAGCTGATGAGACGCAGCCAGTTCTGGCCAGTGGGAGGACAATGGGCTGCAGAGTGAGGACCCGGTGCCCTAACCAGCCGGTTCCAGCCAGAGGACAGAAACAGGAGAGGAGGCCCCGGTTTACGACCCTGTTTACCTGGAGAGTAGACAATGGACAGAGACGGGGCCTGGGGCCAGGGATCTCAGATGCCCAGCTGCGAGCAGGGGGGCTCTGGGCTGGAGAGGGGAAGCCCACCTGGATGCTGAGAGACTGGGATGTGCTGTGCTGAGGGAGGCCAGGCCTGAGGGTCAGAGAGTTTCCTGTGCTGTGTTCAACTCTCAATAAACCCTCCTGTTTCTTGCTGGCTGAGAGTCACTCCGGTCTAGAGAACAGGGTTGCATCAACCCCTTTGGGGGTGGAGGCCTCGGGGATCCAGAGCGAGTGGACTCCCTGAGGGGGCCCACGGCAGAGACAGACATGCGAAGGTTCAGAGAGGTGCGGATCCAGGAGGTGGAGGGGCCGGACCCTGAGAGAGAGTGGACCCCCGAGAAGGGCTGTCTCACTAAAAGGGGCACCCCCACAGACCGCAAGGGGCACGATCTGTGAGTCCGTGACCGTGGGAAAACTCAACCACAGATATTTAGTGATTTGTCCAAGGCTACAGAGAAAGGGTCATTGCCTGAGATGGGTTTAAGTTGGGTCACAGCATCTAGCTTCTATGCTTTGTCCTCTGTAGCTATTTCCTCCCACAAGCATTGAGTATCTCCTTGTCCGTCTGTCCATCCATCCATGCGATACCAAGATCCAGCATCAAGACACTGATGCTGCTTCTGTATTCCAAGGGCATCAGACATTCTTTGCTGCTTCACCAGATCACATACTCCAAGCCTCTGCACAGGGAGAGGTAAGGAGGAATTTCCAGCAGGAGTGAGTGCTCTTCCAGGGAGTCATGGAGCAATGAGAATCCTATGTGAACTAATGTTCTCCAAGTAGCGTTGTTCTCCTTCCCTCACACTCCTGGAGGCTGGGAAGACCGTGAATGTAGCAGCCACTTGGCAGGTGAAACAAACTTTCAAGCCAGCTACTTTCCCCAATTACATCTATCATGCATAGGCACCCACAGAAAAAAACTGGTGGTTGCTCAGCACCCACCGGCAGCTCCCCGTGGCTCCACCCTGCCCCCCTGCTCCAGCTTACCTCTGCCTCCTCCATGAGCGTGCCGCTAAGTCCTACTTCCCTCCCCCCCCCCCCGTCGCTTGTGCCGCAAAACAGCTGATTCGCGGGGCAGGGAGGGAGGGGGAACGTGGCGTGCTGGGGGAAGAGGCAGGGCCGGGGTGGGGATTTGGGGAAGGGATCCAATAGGGGCAGGGAGGGGGCAGAGTTAGGGGCAGAGTTAGGGCGGGGACTTTGGGAATGGGATGGGGGTGGAGTCAGGGCCAGGGAGGGGGGACGCGGGCACCCACCAGTGCCGGAGAAAGTTGGCGCCTATGCCATCATATTGTTCTTCGAGGGCTTGCACATGGCTATTCCACTGTAGGCTTGAGTGTGCCTCGTGCACAGTTGAACTTTTTTCCCTCAGCAAAAACCATTGGGCAGCTTGAGTGCCCTGTCACTATATGCCACTGCGTGCTTCTATAATAGGGTGGAGCCACCCTGTCCAACATCAGTTCCTTCTTACTGCCAGTGATGGCTGTCGGAGTGGTGTCAGATTCGTTGTCATAAATGCTTCCCTCACTCCTTTGTATACCTACTTCCTGTTATTGTTAGGAATTAGTTAAGTTTACATTTGTTTTAGCTAGTTTTAGTGATAGATTTTAGTCTTAGGTCTTTTGGGACCAATTTTTCATCTTTTGGTATCAGAATCAGTACTGGACCGATGCCATACTCCCCAGGTTTTAAGTCTATGCTGGTCAGTGACCCACACCCAGCCTTTGTGAAATATTTTGGAGAAGCCTACAAAGGTGACAAATGTCACATCTGCAAAGCATTTAATCCCTGATCAAAGAAAGATTGAGCAGCAAGGCTCAAATGTTTACTCATGGAGGCAGAACTTCTCCCTTCCCCTCATTGGACTCGTCTCATGCAGAGAGCACCCCAAGTGCATCAGCTTCAGTACAAAGCGCACTGCAGATGTCTACTGCTCCTCGGTCCCATTTGCCAGTACTGAAGAAAAAACGTAGACCCTCCTCAGGCTCAATACCTCACTTGGGTGTACTGATGCCAAAGCCAAGTAGAGGCAGAGAATGTATAAGACATTTGGGGGAGAGTCTCTCTCTGGAGTACTCTTCAGCTAAGAAGAAGGGATCTCTGCCTCCGGAGGCTGTGACAGGTCTGTCGAGGGCATCCCCTGAAAGATTTCTGCAGCAAAATAATCAGTCATTGCTGCTCTCAACTACCGTGGAGGCACCTGCAGACACAAGGAATCTGCTTAGCCTCTCGGTACCGGTATCCCTGGCAGAGCAAGGTGGTTTGCAGTCAGTACCAATGCTTGCAGCACCTACCTCACCGCAGGAACCCGCAGTACCATTACCTCCCAAGCTTCCGCAAAGGCTGGTGCAATCAAAGGCCAAGCCTCTGATGATAGCCCCAGTACCACCATTCCCAGGCTCAGGCTATCTATCCCCAATCCCAACTGGTTCTGTCGTCTCCTCCCCCCACACACACACACACCCTCCCCCATTGTCAGACATTTCTGAATTCTTTGGACTCGGAGATGCATTCGTCTGTCCCATCCAAGACAGAGGGCATACCCTCCATCAAAGAGTCCCAAATGGGTCATGCAACAGTCACAGTGCTGGCCTCCGAAGGGGCAATGGCCCAATCAAGGACGGGTCCCCGGCCCATATCAGAGGCCATTCTGAACTCCATGGGGTGTCCCTCCTCCTGTTAGGACCTCCCTGTAACCAACCATCCCCTTCCTTGTCATTGAAACTACTCTGGGAGCATCAGCACCACAAGCACAGTTCTCCGGTACCCAATACCAAGGTCGGTACTGAACAGACAGAAGTCACTTGGTGGCTTCCCCACTACAAGTCATGGAGCAGCCATCACCTCAGAATGCTGTAGTGTCCTCTTCCTCATCACCAGGTGAGGCGTTTGAGGTGGCAAGTGATTCACCACTGCCAGAGGCCCACAAAGCTCATCAGAATCTATTGAGAAGGTGACCTCTCTTCTTAATATTCAGGCAAAGGAGGGCGTGTAAGTTCTCACCAGTCGATGGACATTTTGATATTGGCAGTCCTGCCAGAGTGGCTCCGCTGATTAACAAAGCCATTATGGAGCCAGTTAAAGCCCTGTGGCAGACACTATACTCCTTACCCATCCATACATCCATCAAAGCCAGCTGAAAGGAGCTATTACATCCCCTCTACGGGAGATGAGCATTTGTATTCTCACTCTCCCCTGGTTCCTTGGTGGTGCCAGCTGCTAACAAACAGAAGAGACAAGGACACCAAGCATCAGTGCCGAAAAGTAAAGATTTGAAGAGGCTGACTTGTTTAGTACTCTACAGGGAGTCTACAACTCAGGATTGCAACCAGCAGGCACTACTGAGCCCCTCTGACATCACCTCTGGGAGAACATTATAAAATTTAAACACAAATTAGCAGAGGACTATAGACGGGAATTTGCAGTAATAGTGGATGAAGGTAAGCTAATTGCCAGAACTGCTCTCCAGGACAGTTTAGATCAGAGGTGGGCAAACTACGGCCAGCGGGACTAGGGATGACGAGACAGCAAATGTGAAAAATGGGGGTGGGGGATAATAGGAGCATATATAAGAAAAAGACCCAAAAATCGGGACTGTCTCTATAAAATCGGGACATCTGATCACACTACGTGGGACCCTCCTGCCCGGCCCCTGAGCTCCTGCCCTGCAAGGCTAGCCCCTGACCCCTCCCCTGCGGTTCCCCCTCCTCCTCTGTGAGATCCTGGGGAAGCACTGATGCAGAGCCCGGCCTGACCCGGTGCTCTGTGCTGCACGGTGGCATGGCTGACTCCAGCTGGGCGGTGCGACTGCCTGTCCTGGCACTCTGGGCAACATGGCTGTAGTGCCGCCAGCCACCGGTGCTCCAGGCAGTGCGGTAAGGGAGCAGGGGGGATTGGGTAGAGGAGTTCCGGGTGGTGGTCAGGGGGCAGGGGTGTGGATAGGGGTCGGGGCGGTCAGAGGGCGGGGAACAGGGGAGTTGAATGGGGACAGGGGTCCCAGCGGTGCAGTCAAGAATGAGAGGAGGGGTTGGATAGGGTGGCGGGGGGCAGTCAGAGGTGGGGTTTTGGGGGGCAGTCAGGGGACAGGGAGCAGAGGGGGGATGGATGGGGCAGAAGTCTCAGGGGGCGAGAAGCAGGAGGGGTGGGATAGGGGGCAGGGGTGGGCCATGCCTGGCTATTTGGGGGAGCACAGCCTCCACTAACCAGCCCTCCATACAATTTTGGAAACCCGATGCGGCCCTCAGGCCAAAAAGTTCTCCCACCCCGGTTTAGATGGTGCAGATGTGGGTGGCTCAAACCACACCATCAGCCATTTCTATGAGAAGATGTTCATGGTAACAATCATGTGGGCCCCCACAAAAGTCCATCAGATAATTCCAGTCCTTCCTTTTGAAGGTCCTTCTTTGTTTTCCGCTAAGACGGACAATAGACTCTACAGCCTGAAAGATTCCAAGGCAACATTGAACTAACACGGCTACCCCTCTGATACAAGGCAACATTAACATCTCTTAGAATCTATACT